TCAAGGAAGGCTGTCATTTCTCTGAACAGTGAAAATTAACTGGTTAGAGATAATATTTAACATTCATGGGGCTGTTGTGGCAGGCTTGAAACTAGTGGGGTTTTTTTTGAGCAAACTATTAAGATGTGTGCCAAAGATTTCTGACTTTACTCTCATACAGAAGCAAACATTTTCCTCTGGAGATCACCAACATTTTAAGTTATTTTTCTCCTTACTTCACTTTGACATAACTGGGAAAACAAATTCATTACTTAAACAGTGCAATAACACTGTCAAAGGCTGATTGATCTGTGAACCCAATTCAGTTTAAATTGAGATCACTCCTTTCATTCCTTTTTTTTTTTTCCTCAAGGACCCAAGTACTTAAACACCACTTTAAATAACTTATAGGCTTGCTTTCTTTTTAATTTTATAGGACTTCTCACACTTAATAAAAGTGACCCACCATCATCAAGAAAATGAGGTTAGCTCTGCCAGTCTATGATTTGCTAACAACTTAATAAAGTTCTTTACATTTAATGCTCTGAATTTGGAAAAGATATTGCAGATGACTTCATTTATAAAGACCAGACACATTTTAATGTTGTCAATTCAGCAACTGAAGGTAATGGATTTATAGAAGTACTCTTCAGCCCAGCCGGGCGTGGCTCAGCGGTTGAGCATCAGCCTAGGATCCAGGCAATCAGGGTTCGATTCCCGGTCAGGGCACATGCCTGGGTTGCGGGCTCGATCAATGACTTTCTCATCATTGACGTTTCTATCTCTCTCTCTCCCTCTCCTTTCCTCTCTCTGAAATCAATAAAGATATATTTAAAAAAAAAAACAGTACTCTTCAGAAATTGCTTTATATAGAGAATCACTATTGACTTTTCCATGGATTACTACTTTAAGATTTCTTTTCTAGTTAACAAATGACTGATTTTTTCCATTCTAAATCAAAAATGTATTGACAATTTACTTCCTTATGGACTAGAAAATTTGGGTCAGAATAAATTAATATGAATAAAAATACTGAGTATTCAGTTTATAAATCTAATAGTTTTCCTCTAATGTCAGTCCCTTTATTTCTTTTTTTTTTTTAATATATCATTATTGATTTCAGAGAGGGAGGGAGAGAGAGATAGAAACATCAATGATGAGAGTCACTGATCGGCTGCCTCCTGCACACCCCCTACTGGGGACTGAGCCCGCAACCCGATCATGTGCCCTGACCAGGAACTGAACCATCATTTCCTGGATCATAGGTTGATGCTCAACGGCTGAGCCACACCTGGCTAGGCAGTCCCTTTATTTCTTTACTCAAATATAGTGTTTCTTAAACTATGGTCCCTGAACCAGAAACACTGGAAAGATAGGGGAATTAGTCAGAAATGCAAATTCTCTGGCCCCATCCCATACCTACAAAATCAGGAACTCTGGGTTTGGGGCCAGAGAATTTGTATTAACAATTCTTCCGGGGGGTTTAAATGCACACTAAGGTTTGAAAATTACTGCTCTAAAATACAATGTAAATGGATTTTAGACTTCAAAAAAATTCACCTTTTTGTATCTTAGGAAAGCAAAAAGTTCTCAGCTAATCCACATAAACAATGTAAGTCTATACCAAATCAAAACATAAATTTTCACTAGTCTGAAGTTTATATTTCCAATTTCCTCTAGCTTTAGTATATTTCTGTAATGTCAGTAGAAATGAAATGGAGGCTGACATTTGGCAAAGAATTATAACAAATCAAGGAAAAAGAGCTCTGCCCATCAAAGTTTTGCATCAGAAAAAAACCTTACAAATTATTTTAATAGGCATAGTAAAAGTAAACCAAAGGTTTATGAGAGATCACAAACTATTTAAGAAAAAGGCCCAAATAATGTTCTTGTATTTAACAAATCTACTATCCAAAAAGAGAAATAAAAGAGCTTCAATTAATCCACAAAAACAGTCATCTATGCCCAATTTAAATTTGGACCTATCCCCCATTTTTTCATAATCAACCAGAGCACATACTTATACAATGACTTCCTTATAGCTAAAAAACTTAGTAAGATTCTTTTCCTCTTTCTTTGGATTTAAAAAAAATACACTGGTGCAAAAATGAATACAGGCTTCATATTTTCCTTTCTCAGAATTTTTTTCATGCAGTATCTTCTTTCAGTATTACATGTTTACATTTTTCTGTGGTAAGAAACAATTTGAAGAACAGAAAAAACACTGGAACATATTTGGAATTAGAAAACACAGTTTTAAGTTCCAGTTCTGTCATTTAATTTTCTGTGATCTTGGACAAGCATTTAAACTATAAAATGGGAATAACTATCCCATGAAAACTGGAAAGTATGAAAATGTATACAAAAGATCTATGTAAGTTATAGAATGTATTTTTAAGGAGATAAAACATAAACTTATTTGACATCACATTATCAATAGCAAAGTCAAAATTAAACAAATAAATCAGGCCTGATGTTCTAGATAGTGTAAGGTACCACTGAGAACATTAGCACTAAGACTTGCTAAAACTAAACCATGAACACGTTATTATCAATAAAAATCCTGTGTCAATTGTACTTCCTCTATAGCACCCTTTATTTCAAGGGGACATTTTATCAGCCACTAAGATGTAAAGAAAGGCAGAAAAATAATACCATAAAAGCCCCATAAAACCTGAATGTAAGGGATATAAATAATACTACATTAACAATGGAGAGCTTACTAAGTGCCACACACTGCTCTTTTATTTAAGATTTTTTTTTTTCTTAAAGATTTTTAATTGATTTTTAGAAAGAGAAAGGGCAGGAGAGGGAGAAAGAAAGAGATGCTGCCTCTTGCACGCCCCCTACCCAGGACTATGCCTGAAACCAGGGCATGTGCCCTGATTGGGAATTGAACTGACAACCTTTCCATGCACGGGATGATGCCCAACCGAGCCACACCTGCCAGGGTGCCACACACTGTTCTTGAAGCTGGGAGAAAGTAGTGGGCAAAGGAGATTATGTATCTGGCTTCAAGTAGCTTATACAGGGGGAGGAAGGTAAACAAAATCCCAAGTAAACAGCAAGCTAGAAATAATGGTAAGAGCTACACACAAGTAAAGCAGCATAAGGGTGGAGAGAGTGCCAGGTGACAGGAAAGGGAAGAGGAGTCAAGGAAGGCAACACCTCACTGAAAAGGTGACGTGAAGGAAGCCATCTGAGAAGAGTAGGGGCATGACCCAGGGCTCAGAGGCAGAACTGAGGAAGCAGTGAGTGAGGGAGAGTGTGGTAAGAGACTCAGTGAGAGATTAGGGGGTTGGTAGGGGTGGGGAGGTTAAGATCTCAGGACCAGATTTTATTCTGAGATGAGATGACTTTGGAGGGTTTGGGTCAAATGCGTCACATACTACTGTGTTTTTTCCAAAACTTTTTAGTTATGGAATCTTTTGTTCAAGGGATTCACAGGAGATTAATATGTAAAAAAGATAAAACAGGAGCTCCTCTGGTTAAGGAAAAGGTACTCAGAGACCTGACTATGCTGTTCCCAATTTCCCTTTCCCTCCTCTGAAGTTTACAAATGAGTATAGTCTGTAGGGTCCAAACATTCACATCCTGTATCCAAAGAACTTCATAATCCAGCCCCATGCTAACTTTTCAAAAAGCTATTCCTAGGGAATGACAAAAAAGAGTAAATCAAGCTGCTGATGAACAGTAGAGGGACAATGTGCTGCCACAAAAATCTGTATCTGTAACACCCCTTTATCAACCCAGTACCAAGACACAAGGTGCCTTTCCTTTCCCCCACACAGTTCTCAGGTTACATACTACGTTTACAGCTTATGTTCCCTTTCAGGGCTTCCCCTGATACTCATTTTAACTTGACTTCACTTGATTAAACATGTTCTAGCAATACAGTGTGATCTGCCTCTGTGGACTTTCTCTCTGGATGTGACCTTCCTGTCAATTTATATTTTAGGAAAATTCTTCCTCCACTAGAGTTACTTCATTTATCAGTAATGACTTCCCAGTTTGCTCTATTCTAATCCTACGCATCCTTCAAAGTCTACTTTGTGAAGTCATCTGCCCCACATTTTGACCCTCAATTGGAATTTCAAATATTCAGAGTGTGAAGGAAACTTCCAAGCCATGTAGTGCTCTAGTTCACAGCTCATTCCATGGACTAACCCTCTGCAGGTCTGGCTGATAGTCTTCTGGCCTTTGTGACTGCTTTTAGTGACAAGCACACACTGGCCCACAAAGCAGTCCATGCTCTTTCAGATATACAGTAATTGTGAGAAAATTCTTCTCACTGACCCAGAACTTGTTTCCTGGTATCTTCCACCACTTGTTCTGTCCTCTGGCTGAAACAGAGGAAAGTCAGATTCCCCGGCAATCATGCACTCTACATAGCTTATAGTCAGCCCTGTGTTTTCCCCCATTCTGGCTCCACCCCTAAAAATTCTACCAATTCCCCAACCATCTCAGAGGCCATCTGTGGAAACCACATTCAATCTGTAATGATTAGCTTAACAGTCACAGGCAGATTTGATGTTTCTGCGTATAATCGGTGAGGTCTCTGTGTCTCATGCCACACATTACACCCCGTTCCTGATTCTCTTCTTTGAACTAGCTTAGGACTTCTACACTTAGCCTTGCATTCATCATTGCACATTTTGTCAATGAACATTTACTGAGCACTGACAGAAACTATACTAGGTACTGAAAAAATAAAAGTAAATAAAATGTACTTAGCCTATAGAAGAGGAAGAGCAAGACAGGTAAAATAATAAATAGCTGAGGAAGTTGGACAGGCTTCAATGGAAGCAGTGATATCTGCGGCAGTGATGAACTATACAACACCAATGTCTCACACAGCACCAAACGGTACAATGCTTTGCCCTCAGTCGAAGTTCAGAAAATATGTGAATGTGGTAAAACCGAGAAACCTGCTCAGTCCTCTCAGCCTCTTTTGGAGGTGAGGTAGGATGATCACTGAATCCATAATCTGGCAAAGGCAGTTACAGAGGCTGACACTGTACCTGGCTACGTACAATATTGCTCAGGTGGTTGTCCTCAGACATCTGTGCATTCTGGAAGTAGGACAAGGGTGCAGGCAACTCTGTCATTGGAGCAACTGTACAGAAATACCTTTTCACAGAAAGTAAAGCCTCTTGGGGTTCTGAAAAGGGAAAAAGAAAACAATCCTTTGTGCATTACAATTATACTTTTATTTTTAAACACTTTCATAAATTACATTCAGTAAAAACAAACCTTTCTTTCATGTGTTCTCCTCCAGGCCAAGCTTTCTAAGGACCTCACAGGCTGCTGTCACTTGCAAACTTCTGGATATGGTCTGGAACAGGATTTTACCAGGTCACCCAGAGTTGGTCAAATCCTAGTAAATCCATTCACACCAATCAAATACTTATAAGACCAATCTATAAACCACAAATTTATTAATTTGCCGTGACCTTCAACTGACAAACTTTTATCAGCTCAAGACACCTCTTTGGTTATGAGTAGACCTATTTGAGAAACCAAGTATTTTCAATCACAAAGATTCTTAATGATTTCAGATTTAGAGCAAAGGGACCTGAATAATCTTAAAAAATGTTCTGATCAACATTTCTCTTTTTTTGAGAGAGAGAGAGGAAGGGGGAGAGAGAGAAACATTGATGTGCGAGCAAAACATCAAACAGCTGCTTCCTGCACACTCACTATTGGGGATCAAGCCCACAACCCGGGCATGCGACCCAACAGGCAATGGAACTGGCAACCTTCTGGTACTCAGGAGGACACCCAACCAACTGAGCTACACCGGCCAGAGCTGTTTACTACTTATAATTTTGCAAAATCCTGTCTATCACCTCATTTTATCTTTACCACAATGCCCCACGGCAGGGTAAACAGGTAACATACATATTTTATTTTATTATTATTATTTTTTAATCCTTACCGGAGCATATTTTTTTCCACTGCTTTTCAGAGACAGTGGAAGGGGGAGAGAGAGAGAGAAACATCAATGAGAGAGAGATACACAGATTGGTTGCCTCTCGCACATGCCCTGACCAGTGCCGGGATCAAGCCTGCAACCAAGGTACATGCCCTTGGCTAGAAATGAACCCTGGACCCTTAAGTCCCTGAGCTGACTCTCTAACCACTGAGCCATACTCAGTAGGGCTAACATACATATTTTTAAAAGAGCAGAAGGGAATCCAAGTTTAGCGACTTGGTTAAAAATCACATAATTGGTCAGACCAGAACAAAAATCTAAGACTCCTGACTCCCAGGTCTCTCCTTTGCATCCAGACACAGCATTATCTACATATATCACTCTGTCTCCCAGAGTTCACCCTCCTGAGGGTCACATTCCTATTTGCCTATATACCTTAATCTCCATCAGCCAATTCTTTATAATTTCAACTTTCCTCTTCATAGAAAGTCTTCAGAAATGTAAAAGGAGTCTGTTTTCATACCTAAGCAGTACTCTCACATATATAGCATCTATAACATTACCACGTATATATTTATATGAAAGCGTTTTGCCAGCATCCAATTTCATTTTCACTTTTCAGGATTCTTTACCCCCTAAATGCTCCACTATTTTTATTATAATGATTCTTCACAAAAAACACATTAAAGCAATGTTTTCCTCTAGCAAAGGTATTGAGTACAAATTAAACCTTAGATATCTATATTTGGCTCACTCAGCATGACAAATTTAAAAAAAAATTTTTTTTAATGCCCACCCGAGGATATTTTTTCCATTGCTTTTTCAGCGAGAGTGGAAGGGAGAGAGAGAGAGGGGAACATCGATGCGAGAGAGACACATTGGTTGGTTGCCTCCCGCATGCACCCTGACCAGGGCTGGGAATCGATCCTGCAACCAAGGTACGTGTCCTTGCCTGGAATCAAACTCAGGACCCTTCCGTCTACAGGTCGATACTCTAACCACTGAGCCACACTGGTTAGGGCTCAACATGACAAATTTTTGCTGTTGTTAATCTTCACCAGAGAATATTTTTTCCATTGATTTTTAGAAAGAGTGAAAGAGAAGAAGGGAGGGTCAGAGAGAGAAATATCCATGTGAGACACATCGACTGGCTGCCTCCCAAACGTGCCCCAACGAACAGAGGTACACGCCCTTAACTGGAAACGAACCCATAACCTTTCAGTCGGAGAGCCGGTGCTCTAACCACTGAGCAAAGCTGGCTACGGCTGGTAATTTTAATTTTAAGTAGCTTCCATTATTAGCCTTATGCTCACAGGATTTGCTGAGCTATTAGAAGAAACCATACAAACTGATTATCATACTGGAGATTTCTCAGACAAATCTTGCAAGAATCAACAATATAGTAGTCACTTTAGCATATCCTAATACTATTTTCAAAGGCACATCCATCGCATTTACATGTGAAAAACTAAGGTTCAGGAAAGGTGAAAGAATCTGCCAGTGCATGATTATGGAGGAAGTAACACCAGTTCCAGAACCCAGGTCTTCTGATGCCCAGTCCAGTCTTTTCCAGTTCCCCACAAGAAAGCTCAAGTTTCCACCGATGCTTTAAAGATCAAAATGCTGCAGGGTGACCATCCCTGGAAGAGCTGCTCTTTACATGGAGCTCAGAAAGAAGAGGCAGGCTACAGGGTTAAGCTAGGTTTTCAGTCAGGCCTGGTGAACAAACATTGTTGGTACAAAGGAGGCAAAGCCAGATTTGATTCTGGTCCAGTAACAGCTGAAAACAATTGATGACTCTGTGGAGAAGGCTAATGACCCCACTGTTAAAGCAGCGTGGCAGAAGACACTAGTGGACTTTATAACATTTTTAGCAGTGCCCTGAGAACAAGAAAAGGCAGTTGTTGGGAGTGAGGATATTTCACGTGACCTGGATTGCAGAGATAGTGGGAGTAGGGACAGAAGTAGATTTTGGTGTTTTTTCTCTCTGTCCACCTGCTAAAGATTTTCTGAGATTGAGAGAGCATACTTGAATCTACTGTCATCCATTTCCTTTTCCTCAAGACACTTGCTCAGTTGGATAAAAAAGAAATCCTTTTTTGAATGGCAACTGTAATTTCTATTATATGCAAAGAGACTAAAAACAAGAGAATACAAATATTGAAACTTAGACGTGCTGAACAGAAAAACCTAACCAAAAAATCTTCTATCCATCAGCACCTGAAAAAGTATCACAGGAGCAATGTTTAGAATCGCAAAATAAGTTTATCAAAAATCCCATTCAAGGAAGCAACAACAGAAAGCACATTTCTGTCTTTCACTACACCCCAAGGTAACAACTAAGCCTGGAGCTCCTATAGCAAGTTTACATAATTTCTTTTGTTAATCCTCATCCGAGGATATTTTTTCCATTGATTTTTTTAGAGAGTGGAAGGGAGGGGGAGACAGAAAGAGGGAAACATTGATGTGAGACAGACACGACTGGTTGCCTCCTATGCAAAATGGAACCTCCAACTAAAGTACCTGCCCTTGACCAGAATTGAACCTGAGACCTCTAGGTCCACCAGCTGACTTTCTAACCACTGAACAAAACCGGCTAGGGCTACGTAATTATTGATACCATTTTCTTTCTTCACTCTCAGAGATAAATGTAAACAAAATGTGTACTTCACAGAAACAAACATCTTCATGGAGACATTTTATCATGATCTTCTCAAGAGCAAAGGGCTTGTGGCTTATTTTAATGACTGTAGCCACTTGACTAGTTTCTCCTTCACTCAGAAAGCCACCAAAAGTATTTTTTAAAAAGTATCTCTGTATTGTAATGCTAAGAAGTTTTCAAGTGTCAGATGAGCTTGTGACTTATTCTTTTTCCACAGAAGTTTTTAATCAGCCTTAATGTTACTTTGACAGCTTCCTGGACAGGCAGCCCAAGTTCTGATTATATGGATGTGCTCGGAGAGCCTCTATTTGTTTTTAAAAGCTCACATTCAATAATAAATGTAACCAATCTCCAAAATTGATAAAAATAATTTGAAATTAATTTAAAATTTTAGGAATACATCCTGAAAAGACTCCTCTGAATTTTAAGACTAGGAGCAAATAATTTCCCCAGCCCTATAAGAGGCTCTGTGAAAGTGGCAGGCTCTAAAAAGAGCAAGGAAAGTGATGTAGCCTATCTGACTTTTTTCCTCCTTCCATCCCACTCCACTTCTGTTACCCATCTGTGGTAGATTATATTATTATTCAGCAAGTATTCACTCCCTCCCCCAGCATGCCCAAGAGAAAAATATACTTCCCTTCTCCAGTAATGTTGGGCTTGGCTCTATGACTTGCTTTGGCCTCAAGGTGGGTGTAGTATACTACCCACCCCATGCCTTTGGGCACAGTCATAATGATACCGTTGTAAATAACCTGGTTATTAATTAACAAGGAAGGAGCAAAGGGAAGGCCAAATAGACTCATGCCCTGTAAAATCTGGGTGAAATAGGGAAGGTACTTGTATGTCAGTTACACCTAGGAACAGATCATTGGTCAGAGTAGGCGTGCCACTCCAAACTCTGGAAGATTTAAACTCTTAAACAAAGTGGTTTTCTCTCTCTTGCACCCTGGGCGCCTGGCTCTGTTGTTGTAGGGGGCCTGCTCCCCTGCATTCCCTCACATGGCTCATAGCCATGTGGACCACACACAATGGATTGATGGACTATAACTAGCCTGTTCCACCATGGAACAAACACTCTGGACACTGGCTTTGCTTCCAGCTCTGCTAAATCCCCAGCTATACCCCTTCCAGGACTGGTTTAGGGGAAATGGGACTTCTGAAACCCAGGGATGTAATTCCACAGAAATAAAGACCATTCATCCTCCCATGCAAATCTTAGAAAATTCTTTTTCTCAACATATTGTAAGGACCCAACCCCAAGCACTCAGTGGGGAAAGGGAAACCCCGCTTCCAGCAGTGGACACCTCACTTCCACCAATAACAATGGTGGTCAATGAGATCTTAGCAGATGTGGCACAAGCAGACACTTGAACTGTGCTTGTGCAGTAGGTAGGTCTTGCCTTCTGGTGCTTCTGCTCTTGCCTTGAGAAAAGCTTACAGTGGGTAGCCACTATCCCTTCAGCCTGGTTCCAGAATAAGATATGAAAGCAAAACTGCCGTAGCTGACCCACAGTCCTGTACCTTGAAGCAGAGCCTTGAGTGCTCTAAGGCACTGAGTTTGGGGTAAGTCTGTTACATAGTTATAGTAGTTGTTTTTAAGTAATAATGGTTATGTGGCCTCAGACGATGCAATGAAAATTAACAAAGACTTACAAATCCAGAATCCTTTATCTGAAATCTTTAAGACTAAATGTATTTAGAATTCTTTTTTCCCCCCGATTTTATAAAGGTAATATGATGTAAATACCATATGTTTTATAATGCCCCTCAGGGTCTTAGAACCTCAAAATCAAACACTTTACTAAATACCTAGTGAAACATATAAGCAATCTTAGATTACATAAATAGATTCAGGTTAGCTTTCTGCTGTCAAATGAATTATGAAAAGCATTTCAGTTTTCTCTGGGGGTTTTGGATTTCAGAATTGTAGATGTGGAACTATATTATCAATATTTGCATAATTATAAAGAATCCTCCCCAAAAAAAACATTTAATTTCAATAACTCTACACAGAAGATATGATTACCCTGAGTCATTGTCCCAAATTCACTGTGGAAATGGGGAGAATACAATTTACCTTTAATGGAAAAAAAGAAGACTACTTACATCTAATTAACTTGTAAGTCACTGGTTATATATTCAACAATGCTTACCTTCTCTCTCTCTCTCCTTTTAATCCTCACCCGAGGATATTTTTTCCACTGCTTTTCAAAGGCAGTGTAAGGGAAAGAGGGAGAGAGATGGAGAGATGGGGAGGGGGGG